CCATTTCACCTTCTTGTCTTTCGACACATCCTTTAATTGAAAACTCTCTCTATAGTGGATAACCAATCAATAAAACCTTCACCTTTCAAATTGCTAGCAAATTCTGAAATCTCTACCTTAAACCCACCATCCTAATGTTTATCATAAAACTGATTAACAGTTGGTCGGCGTTGTGCGTTTGCATGAAAAGGATTTACGAAATCCTCTTCTGGGTAATCCTCCTCCTTAGATTCGACACTATCTTGAAAAGGGCCTAATTTTGCGCAATGCACTGGGCTAAAGCTTCAATCTGCCTTCTTAAATCTTCTACCATAGTGAGCATTTGCTATTGATCAACTGCTACATTCTGATCTGGCTGAACAACTAGCCTCCGAGGTGGATTTCTTCTCTTTGGCGGCATATTTCAAACCCAAAGACAAAATCTATCAAATCACCAAGAAACCCGAAAGGATCAAAATGTGCACTGATACCAACTAATGCAATCAACTTATGAAGAACAAAAAAATCCAATAAGGAGAATTAGAGAGCTAGATCAAGCTAAAAGATTAGCTTAAACACCCACAATCAATCCCAAAGAGAGGGAGAGAAGGCTGGCTGCTGTAGAAAGCAGAAAATACATTAATATTCTTCCAAAAGTTGTATTAGCTACTGAATACAATGTGGAACAACCTTTTTATAAGTCTCTAGGGTCGCCCTAATAAAAGAGTCAATCTCAGCCCTTTAATTAAAGCTAATCTAATGGCTCTAGTTCTGTCCAGCATAAATAAAGACACTAAAATGACCAAGCAGCCCAAAACAGTCACATGGCTGACTTTTAAAATAAACTCTAACAACCAAAATACCCCTAAATATGACTGATAATCAAAGAAACACTATATAGAACATGAAAACATACTAAAAATATAATTTAGACCAAAAAAAATAACTCAAGAAAAATATAAACAGCTTGTGAAATGACCATGGGAGGTTGCCACCATTAAGGTGTCTAGGCTTAGTCGTCTTTGGATGTTCACGGGCTTGTAAAAAAATTTCTCCTACATGCTATGCATCAAGTCATAAAATCCAGAATGCCTGTAAATACCACCAAACTCAAATAATTCAAAACTTTCCCTCAAGCTGAAGAATAGATATTTATCATGTCCAGAATATTAAATTGTAAAAAGTTGTTCTTTAACTAAACCTTTGATAAAAAAATCATCAAAATGATCTTTAGATTGCACATACACAATAGAAATCTAGTTATACATAACCAAATCTTGACAAAGTGACAATAAACTTCTATATGCTAGTCGCCTAGTCCTCATGGAATATTGAATTAGAAACAATATGCATAGCTATCGAACTGTCACAAAAAAACTAGTCTGTTTCCAAGGAATATGCCTACGTCCTACAACGAAGAGCATACTCACATCAACTCATATGTCAAATGATACAAGCTACAGTTCTAAACTCAAACTCTGTCCTTGATTTAACTACAATATTTTGTTTATTGCTCTTCCATGTAACAATTATCACCAATGAACAAATAACACCCTCTAAACAATCACCAGGCCAATCAACATCAAAAACCCAACTACATCAAGAGAGCTAGACGACTAAAACATCATACTCTTTCTAGGAGCCTTTTTAAGTCTACAAACAACACCCTAGTTCTTTGCTCCAAACTGACTATCCACTCCAATGCTAAAAGTCACATGCAGCCTGGTTACTGTCAGTTATACAAGTTTACCAACTAGCCTTCAATATCTCTCTGTGCCATCAAAATCTTCACTACTATGCTTGGCAAGCTTAAGATTTAATTCCATAGAGTATCAAATGGTTTTGCTCCCAACAATTCAGTCAGGGATCAACGGCGTACTTCCTCTGGGTAAGAACAATACCTTCCTTCGACCATGCAACTTTTGTACCTAAGAAATATCCCAAGGAGCCAAGATCTATCATGTGAAAGTGTGCTTAAGGGTTGTTTAAGCTGTCTAATCCTATTGTTCAACACTTGCTATAATCATAAAATCAAAAATTGCAGGCTTCGTACCAAAATCAGGCACCAGTGTGCTAAATTTATCAAACCATGCTCGTTGAGAGTGGGGACTACTTAAGCCTACAGTAAGCTTTCTTAACCAACACACATTTTTTTATATCCCCCTTGAACAACATACCTTGGAGGGTGCTCCATATACTCCTTCTTTTGTAAGTGTTCATAATGAAAAGCATCCTTAATGCAAAGTTGAGAAAGAGAACAATGACCTTTCGAAAAAGATAAAGACACTCAGGGCTTGTTTGGTTTGCATCTCAAAAAACAGTATCCGAAAATAGTTTTTGAGAAAAATTTTAATAAAATATTTTTGAAAATTTTTTGATTGCAAAACCTGTTTGGTTATATATTTTTGAAAATAGTTTTAAAGAACAAAAAATTGTAAAATCAGTTTGAGCAATAATCCCAAAAACCCACAATTCTCATCTCTATCTTTCTTTTTCTCTCTCTGTCTTCACAAAACCCACACACATGTACACACAAACATAAACACACACACACGCCTACACACACACACACATACACACACACACACACGCGCGCATACACACACAAATCTTTGTCTGTGTGTCTTGAACTCAAACCCAAATTCAAATCTACGCAGATCTATGCTTCAGATCCATGTAGATCTGACCTTTAATTGTTGCAAGAGAGAGAGAGAAAGACGCAAATGCAAAAAAAAAAAAACAGACACTAGAAAAGACCCAGATCGTGTGTGTGTTTCCTCTAGATTTGTCGAAGTGGAGACAGAAACTCCAGCGATCATTGCACACGCTGGAGATCTCTATGTGTGTGTGTCTTGAACCCAGATCGTTACACAGCGTCGTTGCAGAGAGAGAAAGGAGATGTAAAAAACATAAAGTGAAGGGTTTTTATACTTCAACGAAAAAAAATTCATTTTGCTGCTAAGGAAGTTTGATGGGTGGACCTCATTAAAGAGGAGGGGTTGTTTCCCTTGTTTTCTATTTTAGCCAGAAAACTCAAAAAATATGGCTGGCTTGTTTTCTATTTCTTTGCTCCAAATCTCATTTTTTTCCCAAAAAATTGAGAACAAAACTACTAACCAAACATGTTTTGAGTGTTGTTAAAATTTTGAGAATAAAAAATAGTTTTGCAGATTCAACCAAACATCCCCCTCAGATCTTATAATAGCAATAGACAATAAACATGAACTGACTGAGTTAAGATGAACATCAGGAAAAAAGGTCTCAAAATAATTTACCCACAATGTATGAGTCTAATCTTTTGCAACCAAGCATGCTTTTAAACACGCAACAGTAACATCTGGGTTGCAGCATACACCCAATGATAGCCAACAACATTTTTACTTGGAGAAAAAGAGACTAGCCACCAAGTCTGCCCATATTTTAAAGCAATTTTCACCTTAACCATAGTGTGATGCCAATGAGAAGATAAATCCTAGACATGTATCCTAGGCACAACCATAGAAGATAAAGAGGAAACAAAGGAATGACAATACAAAGACAAATTGGATAAGAAATCAACAAATTGGATAGGAAGAGCAATACAAGTGCGCATGGGTTTGCAAAGAGTAATAGGCAAATCATCAGAGGATGAAGAGAAAGATACCTTAGGAACAATAAGAGGAAAAGATGGAGGATAGCAGATCTAAATTCATCATTGGATTTTGTACATCTTTCTTGCAAATATGGTAGATCTAGAACATTTTAGGACTGGAATCATGTAATTTAGAAATGACCTTAGAAGGAATTGGAATGTGAAGATTAGTGCACTCATACTCCATCATGATACCGTGTGCCGAAAAGAAAGACGTGCATAAAAAAAGGTAAAATCCACACTGAACGAATAATGACAAGTATATGAATCCCAACATTTTTGAGTTCTAGAATAACCCATCAAAGCACACAAGAAATGGTGGGGAACTAAAATACACTAAAGGAAGACGCCATTAAGACCTGAAGAAGGCATACGATTGATTTAGAAGCATATCATCAAGAAAACTTACCCCAAAATGATTTTGGTACGTGCATATGAAGCATCAAAGGTATACCAACTTCAACAAGATGCATATTTTTTCATTTTGCAACCTCATTTAGTTGAAAAGAATGGACAAAAAAGATTTGATCTATAATTCCCATAGCAAAATCCCCTTATAGCAATGGCAAACACAACCTCTCAAAGCTTAAGCAAGCTAAGGCAGAAAATGATAACATTCATTTCATGCTTAGGACACAGAGAAGGTGATAATTGTGAGCCAGGGGAAGGTTATGTCTACATGTAACCTACATGACCTTTGAAGAGAAAACATTGTCTAAGCTAACATGTAATTTTAAGGCTAGGGTTTAACAAAGAGAGTAGAAGAGAGAATGAGAAAAGAGAGATTGGGAGTAATAGTGTGTGTATGACTGTGTTGCCCTTGCCCTACACTTTTTATTTATAGTAGGAAGTAATTAGGGTTATTACAATATTATCCTATACTCATTAAATATAACTAATACAAAAATTAAGAAATCTAACAGTATAAAGGGCCACTATTTTTCTGACTTCACATTGAATGGGAAATTGATTCTCAGATTTTCTTGAGGGAATAAGCCTTTGCCCTCCTATTAGTGACCCGTCAACCCTATGACAATCGAACGTTGAATGCAGATGAAGGGGGTAAAGTTTCCAGCCAAGTGCAAAGGCACCTAGCCAAAAAAAAATGCTTGGGGTCAAGAGTATGACAACCCACAAAGTATCTTTGACAAGTGGGGCAGACCACAATAGTGGTCTAAGCCAGACACAATCCAAACATCAGACCACTAGTCCGTGGCTAAGAGCTAAGAGCATTGCAGCTTGTTATTCTGCAAATTGTCATGATAAAGCTTGAACTACAGGACCCTGGTTGTCCCATCATTTGATGTCACATTACTTTTAACAAACTTGTCACCATAAATATCGGACCAAATGTTCCATCGATTGGTCATGAATTTTGGGTAACCCTTCCTTAAGCGAAGTAAACTACCTCGCTTGTTTCTGGTAGGATTTCAGGTGCAAGCAATGGCTTTTCAACTGTAAGAGGAGGCCAGAAAGTGCTTAAAAGTTGTGCTAACAGCCCAATCCATGGGGAAGAATTGGGACTTCCAATCTGTACAAAACTGATGATTCTCATACTTATTCAATCTTAGGGGATGTAAGGAGTGCAGCACTTGATGCCTGGACCTCTAAAGTTGATGAGTTTTTGGAAGGTAGAGTCTATTCTTATGATCATGCCAAATAGTTCTCTTTGCTTGTCCCTTGGACACTAACAAGAGTTATCTTCTAGAGATAAGTTTATCTAGTACTCAATCCAATTATCATTATAAGAGATTGGTCCAAACCCATACTTTCAAAGAGATAGCTGACCAAGCAATATCCAAGAAAGGCCTAAAATGGTTAACTTCTTAATAGGACAAAGTCTGGTCTTATCCATATTATCTTATTTATATATTGAGTCCAACTTTACTACTATACTGAGCCAGAGGTTGAAGTACACACATTCCACACCTTGCCACTTACAATACCATTCACTTGAGGCTCGTGTTTGAGCATCGGAGCCTACTAATGGTCTATGATGGTTTGTTCATTGTACATGACACAATGGGAGCTGAAGTACAACTCAGCATTTCCTTAGGTACAAAATTTATCCCTACAAGAACTTAGAAGTCTAATGCTCCGTTTGATAAGAAGGATGGAAAGTTGGAAGAATGAAAAATATGAATGATACACTTTCTATCCTCTAAAGAAGGAAGTAGGAATAATACACTTTCCTTCTTTTGTATTTAGTAGAATGGATGAAAAGTAGAAATGATTAATTTTTTTGTGCTTGGTATTATTGAAAATATAGAAGGAGGAAAAAATATAAATACATAATATATAATTGATAAATATAATATATGTATATATCAAATGATATATAAATAAATAACATAAATTTCAACACACAAAATTAACTTTCATCCACTTTCCAACTAGTTTTGGAAGGATTGATTTTAATGAATTTGAAGAAAAGTTAATTTATCCACTTTCTCATCCTTCTTATTTTCCTTTCCTATTCTTTCCCACCAAACATAATGTTTTATATAAATTTCTAACTTTTCATCTTTCCATTTTCCATCGTACCAAATAAGGGTCAATAAGCCTATATTGCATAAATTTAGGAATGTAACAAGGCGACATGATACCTTTACAATTTAACATTCAACAAAGAGATACCAACAATACTGGCGCTGAATACTATAGATTTGAATATGTCTACACTTACATATAAAAAGAACACTTAAAAGAGAGAGAAAGCGAGAGCGAGAGAAAGGGAGAAAGAGAAAGAAACCTGAGACTGCCAGGCGGTTATATCGCTTCGACAGAGTGAGGTGCAGACCACCTTGATACGTAACTCCATGGGTTGGGGTGGACTCAGTTCCACCTCCTCAATTACCAATGGCTCGCCTGGTCCCCATGCCACCGCAGCTTGAGTTGTCACACATTTGAAATCACAATCACATACATTACTCAGCCCCAAAATTCGCAGACTATAATATCACCGGTAAAAATTAAGCTAGGAGTACCAATCAAGATACCTTTGCAGGTGATGACATGAGGGTGTTTGGTTGAACAAAAATTTGAACTAGAAGACGACATATTTTGCTGTAAAAGCTGTGAGACTTTCAAATCAAATGCTTCCCAATAAAACTGTGAGTGCTTAACGAATTGCAATTTTGGTTCTGGACGATACGGAGAAGATACCGCTGCAACAACACTCAACCGATCTAGAAGACGATAGATTTATATGGTACAACCAAACCATCTGACTTGTGGGCTGGCGGTAGTTGGTGGTGGCAGGTACCAGTGCTTCAAACTGATCCGTACCATTGGGAGTAGGTACCCTTTCAACCCATATTACAGCATTTTTTCTAAATTCAAATATAAATTTATGGTAAAAAAATTCTTAAAAATTTTCGTTAATTTATATTTAAAGAAGATTTAAATTTTTATTTAAATTAAATTTAAAATTATTTTCTTTTAAATTTGAGTTTATTTATTGAAATTATTTATATCAAATCAAATTTTTTAATTAAATTGAGTAAAAATTTAAATTAAGGTTTGAAATACTCTTAAAAATAAAAATATCTGATTTGACAACTAATGCATTATAGTAATAATTTTTTTTTATATGAAACGGCAACAACTTTATTAGAAATATTAACAGTTTATTTGGTAGGAAAGATGAAAAATTATAAGAATAGAAAATGGATGGAAAGATTTTCCATCTCTAGAGGGGAGGAATCAGTAATGCTACACTTATCAAATTTTTGAATCAAATTTAAAGCTCAAATGACATGATAGCATATTATTTGGAGTCTTTATTAGGGTCTAAATGACATACCACCAAATAAAAAAGCTCAAATCAACTGTCATGTCATTTTAATTTTCAATTTGATTCTAAAATTTGGTCAACATAACATTACTAGAGAAGGAATATATTTTCTCTCATTTTATATTTGGTATGATAGATGAAAAATAGAAGGGATACATTTTCCTTTAATTAGTATTGGATTGAAAATTGGATGGAAAGAAAAAATATATATACAAAATTTACCATTATACCCTCACATCTAAGAGGTGAATTTTTCTATAGTAATTATCATAGAAGATTTGATAAAAGGGTTGAATTGCAAAACACATGAACCACCTGCTCAGCATACATCCCCTCAAACCATATTAAAAGCTTGGCTCCTATATCAATTGCTTTTTTTTAAAGAAAAAGAAAACTTGTATTTCATAAGAATCACAGAATTATATAATTTTTTTATATTTGGTGAACCTCGATGTTGTAAGGAAATTTTATTGATTTAAAAATAAAATTACACCTAAAACATTCTGCCTAAAACAGCAGTGAGGAGCATTCCAGCTGAAGCAGAAACAACAGTCACGTGAACAGTGTTCAGTCCACTGTAATTTAAAATCCTGCAAAACAGTTCAGCCAAAAGCAGAGAACAGGCCACCAATTTCTAGCAACGATGCATCATTGTTCCCAGGATTTTGCAAAATGGGAATCACCAAGATCTTGCATGAAAGCCAGAAGATAGGACAAGTTGATAGTCCAAACTCGTACCTGTTCAAAAAATTTGCAAAAAAATTTTGTAGCCAAAATTCAATCTGAAAAACTAATCAATACATTCTCTCCACACATATTATTAGAACATAATGGACCAAACTCAAAGGCCCAACCCATGTTATAAGTCTAGTCCGAGCTAAAGGCCCAATTCCAAGAGATCCAACTAATCAAGCCCAAAGGAGTCTACACCTGGATAACCTTATCAAGATCAATGAGCTACTTCAGTAGGGGAACATGCACGGTCATCCAAGAGCCTCTTCAACCACCTTGGAGTAAAGGTCATCCAAGAGAGTCATCTAAGAGCCTCCTCTACGCCACCAAGGGAGCATCCAGGAGCCTCACCCTCACCACCAAGGGAGCATCCAGGAGCCTCACCCTCGCAGCCTGGAGAAAGTCAACCTTCCTCATCCTTGACCAAGTCTTTTGGAGAGCACACCAACCATCACACCTCGCGCCGTTGAGAAGATGATAGATTGCCTCCGCCGGATGAGCTACCTAATTACTATCAAATGGTCCTAAGCCATAATGACCGTCAGAATAGTCATACAATTACTATGCCAAACCACTATAAATTGTAAGCTCCTCTGACACTTGGGGGGCATCAGACTCATTTGAACATAATTCTCTCCTCCCCTTTCAAAGCTTGTAATCATGTGCTCTCCCTCCACACCGGAGATAATAAAATTTTGGCGAACCTAGTCATTCAATTTGGACATAGGTTGTATTGACCGAACCACTATAAATTATATATTCTCTCTCCTTCTACTTACTGCATTTTATACTACAACTTGACTAGTAGTGTGCAAACTAATTTGTGCATCATCAGTTTGACGCCATTTGTAGGAAAGACAAAATTCTCACTTCTAAACACTTCATTTGCTGAACCAATGAAGATCACCACCAGATCTATGAATCAACTTGAAGATAACCCACTATCAATAAAGGAGGAGGTTGCTCCTCAACCAACCAATCCTGCCCCAAATGCGCAGCAATGCTCGAGACCATACAGCAACTTGCGGCTTAGAACCAATAGATCCTGCAGTTGATGCTCGCTGGGCAAGGAGGAGCACATCTTCGAGGAGCTCCATGCCTTGGGCGTCAAGGAGCTCCCCACATGGGTGTTCCTCATCTGAGTGCCCTCTTTGGAGCCCCTTTGGGCGTCCCACCCTTGGGAGCCCCACTAGGCACCCAGCACAGGAGAGCTCCCCACGAGAACCTCCAGCTCCCCCTTCTCATGGTAGAGACCCTCTCTTCCAAAAGGACGAGGGTGAGAACCAGAGCATGGAAGTCATTTCCAAGATAATTCCAAAGAAGCTCCCAACCACTGGAACGAAAAAATAAAAGAGGTGCAAAATCAACTGGGCGACATCTTCAACGCTATAAGGGCACAAGGACCCGAGATAGTGGACTACCTTGTTAGGCGAATCGACACACCCTTCGTACCTGACGTGGTGAACTACCCGTTTCCCTAGAAGTTCAAAATGCCATCCGTCGAACCTTTGATGGTACGAAGGACCCACTTGATCACCTCAAAACCTACAAAACTCTAATGTAGTTTTACAATGTCCCCTATGAGATCATGTGTAAGGCGTTCTCAACCACCTTGAAGGGATCCGCCAGACAATGGTTTGTTAGACTCTCCCCAGCTTCCATTGTCTCCTTTGCTGAGCTGAGTAAGTCTTTCGTGTCATACTTTATCGGAAGGCGCCGTCACCAAAAGCCCGTCACCCACCTGCTCAGCATAAAGCAGGACCGATACAAGAGCCTAAGGAGCTACCTCACTCGTTTTAACGAGGAGGTCCTCTAGGTTGAAGAGCCCGATAACAAAGTAACTATGACCGCCTTCTTGGGAGGCCTCCGCTCGTCAAGCTTCCTCTTCTCAATGATGAAACGACCACCAAAGAGCATGCCAAAACTATTGGCAAAAGCTAAAAAATATATGAATGCTGAGAAAATCAACAAGTCTAGGCGAGGTGAATCATCTCACGGATCGCCAAAAGCTTAACCTCTGCACTATTCTCAAACAGGCAGCCTACATTTCTAGCTTAGCGGCTCTTTCACGGGTCGCCAAAAGCTCGGCCTCTGCATTGTTCTCAAACAGGCTGCCTACATCTCCAACTTAGCAGCTCTAACGCGGGTCGCCAAAAGCTCGGTCTCTTCATGCTAATTCAGCAGCTTTTTGCTCAATTTCTCGTGGAGTAAAATTCTCATCAGTACGAGTCAAGGGGATGGCCCCCTGGCCTCTGATGTCCATATAAAGGACACGACGAGCATAAATACCCTCTTTAACTTCTATTCTGACAGACTGAATATCTTTTATAAGGAATCGGAGGAAGATGCGACGATTTTTTCCAGGAAATCCCCAACGAAAAATACACACTATTCCTTCTCAAACAGGCAGCCTACATCTCCAACTTAGCGGCTCTCTTGTGGGTCGCCAAAAGTTCGGCCTCTGCACTGTTCTCAAACAGGCAGCCTACATCTCCAGCTTAGCGGCTCTCTTGCGGGTCGCCCAAAAGCTTGGCCTCGGCACTGTTCTCAAATAGGCAGTCTATATCTCAAATTTAAGGCCTCTCTCATGGGTCGCCAAAAGTTCGATCTCAAAAGGTGAAGCTCTCTCACGAGCAATCCTCAAACTCTGTCTTTGCTCTCACACAAGTAGTCTACCTCTCTCTCTAGGTAATTATGTTAGATATTTTAAATGTTTGAAATAACATTGTTTTTGCCATCTCTAGCCAGGCTCTTGAAACTCAAGTCATCTGTAACCCAAATGACTACATTAAATTGAATATCAACAATCGGGCCTCATCTTTTTGTGTCCATGCGGCACTAGCACCTTGCTGCCGCAGCACCCTTGCGCTTAACACCTAGCCCAAACAAGCACTGCCTCCCTGGACTTGTCCCCAAACAACGCTCCTCTATGGCGATCAACAAAATCGCCTCTCTAGCAGCGCCCAACATAGGCGCCCAAGCTCATGGTCCCTCCAGTAAGGCCAAACACTATAGGCACTACTCCATCAACGTCGTCGCCAGATCGACCTCGCCCAACACCAGTGGAGCCTCTTAGCGATAGTCTCCTGAGCCACTACAAGGAAGGTTTGAGAAATCTGAGAAGCTCCATCTGAAGGAGCTAGATCATCCGCCACATTCCCGGAGTTGTCACGGCCAAAAGTACCCATGGCAAATTGGGTCTCAACCAATGGCGAAGAAGTCTCAGCGATTTGGCCCGCTCATCTGGACAGCTTACCTTTCGCCTAGATTGCTTGCCCAATCAAGCTTGTCAT